AGGGAGTGTCTCCAGGATTCATCAGGTTTCTAGCCTCAAGAGACCATCATGATCTTCAGGGGTGCCAGCCACTTTTGCTTCTGCAAGCCCCTTGCTGCATAAATTAAAATACATATTCTGTGATTATATTTGGTGTAAAGACAAATATATTAATATTTCATATCAAAACATTCTACTTTGACCTAAAGATTCTCTTTTTCTCATCTGGCATTAAAAGATTAAGGAATTTTCATGATCCCCTAAAAGTGACATGGGCCCAAGGTACCATGCATCCTGGGTCTAACAGATAAGCTGACTTCTGTGGTGCCAGCCCCACCTGACACCAGTTTGCCCAGCACAGGACCATGGCTCACCATCAGAGGAGCATCAAGTACTTTTCTCCTTGGGATCATCCATGAAACATGAAGCAGCCTGTGTGGCCATCAGGAAGCCATTGTTTTGATCCTGACATGACAGTTTAGGAGTGAGAGAACTAGATTGACAGATTCACAACAGGTGGATGCAGGTGCCCCCCCGCCGCCGTCCTGAAAACCTCATATCCTATAATGGGAACTAATTTCTCAGCCACAACTCCATGAGCACAGCTTCCAATATTCCCCCAAGGGGCATGCCCAATTATTACTCAAGAGTCATCCTACCCAGAGAAGCCCAAAAGCTTCAGATTTCTATCAAATATTTGTAGTTTTCCCAGTCTACCGCAATTTACCAAGCAGAGATCATTTCTGTCAAAAGTACTCTTTCTTTCCTGGCTGCACAGTGTGACATTCTTTCTTTATCAGGTTTCTAGGGAAACAGAGCTAGAAAGCTAACCAAAAGCCACCTTCCTATACAAAGGGTTTAAAAATCCTTTACCCACATGTGTAACTTACAAGTCCACTCCAACTTAACAGAGTGTCTGCAGCAGAGACTATGCTATGTGTGCCCCAAACTCCATTCCTTTTTCTTCCTGGGAACACAGTGAGACCACATTTCCAGACTCCCTTGCATTTAAATATGGATTTGTGACTAATTCTGGCCAATGAACTATAGGTAGAAATGACATATTTTCAGGCTGGGCCCATAAAATCTCTCTGGAAATCCTCCCAACTCTTCTCTTTCACTCTGTCCATTTGTTGATGAGCTGCTGTCTTTAGCTCAGGATTCTCAGTGGCCCAGGAGTTTGTGGAGCCACACAGTGGCAGGAGCCTGGGTCTCTCTGAATGATCGGTCTTCTAAAATAGACCCTATCACAACTCCTACCTGATGTGATAGAAGCAAGAGATATGTGACCAGTGAGAAAAAGAAAAAACAAATTTATCTGAGTTTTTTATTTCTCTCCTTCCCCTGCAAAAAGGTGAGCTGGCAGAGAACTTCAATTAAGAACATTAAATGACTGTGGTTGACCCTCTTAATGTTAAGCGAAGCCCTCTGGTCCTCTCTAATATTTTATTAAAACTTGGAGTAGGGCTCCAAAGAGACACCTCCTGGCCCCTTCTTCATGGTTATGTGCTGAGAGTTGGGTAGTGCTTGGCTAAGTGGAACTCTCATCCAAGCACTACCAGAGTAGAGTTCTCATCCAAGAAGCCACTGCCAGAACAAGTCATTCCTGTCAGAATTCACTGGCATGATCCCAACCCAAAGCCATCAACAAAGTGGTTGAGAGGAGGGATCCAAAGGGTCTTATTCTAAAACCCTAACGGGAAAGAATTCAAATGGGTTTGCTAAGAAAGTATGCTAAGGACACATAAGACAAGCATGGCTTTGTACTTGAGAAAGTCTTTCCCAAACTGTGCTCTTTAAGCACACAATGCTTTTTAGTCATTTTGTGATTAGTTGTTTTAATAGAGAATTTAGAAGGGTTTTCCTGTAAATTATTTATGTAACAAACCTATCAATTTCTCTTTAAAGTAATCATATTTTTATTATTTATGATGATTTTGGTTACAAGTAAAAATGGAAAAAAGAAAAAAGTCTCAAGGACCAGGCATGTGGTGGCTTACATCTATAATCTCAACTACTGGGGAGAACCATGGTTCAAGACCAGCCCAGACAAAGTGAACTTGAGACCCTATCTGAAAAATAAACTAAAAAGAACTAAAAATAAACAAAAAAGAACCAAGGGTATGGCTCAAGTGGTAGAGTACCTGCTTAGCAGGTAGAAAAAAAAAAGTTCCAAATGGCTTAAATAAGAAAGGTAATTTACTAGATCCCATGATGAAAGTCCAGAGGAAAGTCAGTTTTAATTGGTGAGAGAGGCCATTGCCAAGAGATGCTGCCTTCCAAACTCCCTTAGGTAAAAACACCCAGCAGAATCCAACAGATCTCATTGCAAAGTACAAGTATGATTAGCAGAGCCAGAGCCCAACATCATAGAAGAACTGAGTATGGAGTGGAGAGACAATATCTCAGTAACTACCACATCTGTATAGAAACATACTGTTTCAAAATTGTTGTCATTTGGAAAAGGTAGTCAAAGAGAATGCAGCCCCAAAAATATAAGAAATGAGTTTTATAGAGTTATGTCAGACAGCTAATACAAAATTCATATGATTTTTCTGGATGACATGATGTATTTGCTATTACTTTTCTGTATTTTAGATTATGGTTTATTTCTTCATTCTAAATAAATATCTACCTACTACCGTAAAAAAATGAAGTAAAAAAGATTGCCAGTCTTCCCCAGTATCACACAGAAATCACAAAGTCTCAAGAATGAAGTGCTGAGGGAACAGCACTTCCAAGTGTCTGCCCCCATCAGGGGAACCTGGCTCAGTGGGCTGTGCAACTGGTGCTTTATTCCCACAGCTTAGCTGAAAGGGAAGCAAGAGAGAGAAAGACCGAGCATCCCTGCCTCCTCAGCCCCTCCATGCCTCCATTCCAGTCCCAATCCACATTGGGGCCTCTAGAGCCTGGGCATGCTGTGCCTTGCAGAGATGTGCAGAGTACAGTTCTGCAGTCCATTCAGTGCCCACTGGGTCCAGGTTTGGGTTCTTGTCACTCTTTCTTCTTAGAAGGTGCATCCTATGGGCAACAACTACTGTTTTATTTTTTTACAGGCTGAGGAGTAAATTTTCTTCTCTCAAATATTGCAGGCCTATGTGTATTTCTCTGTGATCTGCTTCCTTTATCTAACTAGTTTTATACAATGCTAATAAACAATGCAGAGATGTGCAGAGTACAGTTCTGTTCTGCAGTTCCATTCAGTGCCCACTGGGTCCAGGTTTGGGTTCTTGTCACTCTTTCTTCTTAGAAGGTGCATCCTATGGGCAACAACTACTGTTTTATTTTTTTACAGGCTGAGGAGTAAATTTTCTTCTCTCAAATATTGCAGGCTATGTGTATTTCTCTGTGATTCTGCTTCCTTATATAACTAGTTTTATACATGCTAATAAAACAAATACTGTAAGTACCTAGAAGAAAGGAAGGAATGGCCTTGTATGTCTCTATAGTCCCTTCATTCAGTTGCAAGTGACAGAGAGCTAGAATATAGTGGCTAAAGCATATAGGTTTTTCAGACCAGGATGTCTGAGAGTGCTCTGTATCGCACAGCCTCATCAAAAGTATGTAGTTTCAGACTTTTGGATTTTGGCCAGTCTGATAAGGTTTTAAAAATCTATCTTTGAATAACCTTAAATTGAATTTCTTTTATTAGGAACCAGGTTGATCCACAGCTTTAAAAAATTCCTTTCTTATTAATATTCCTATTCAGTGCTTATCCTCCATCGTGGTTAATCATGAGATCTCTGGACACACAATGGCACGTTAGACTAAAACCATGAAGTAGGTGACATCCTCCACTGGACAGTCGCTCACTCTCCCTGTGTTGTACCCCAAGGAATATGCCAACTACATTCCGATGAATGATCAGTCATGATGTTGATGGTCCATGCCCTGCTTCGTATTTAAGACATTTTAAGAGAACTGGAATATAAGAAAAATAAGTAAAAACTGTCTATAAGAAAAGCAAGGTGAAGCCAGGAATGAGCTCGGTACACTAAGCGTCGTGACCATGGTTACAGGCAAGTCACATATTGGCCAAAAAAAGAGACAAATAGAGGTCAAGACAGGCTGCATCTCAGCAGTGCCTTTTAGAAGCTGGCTTATCTGGAGGAACCCTAGATAAGAATACAGGGAGGGGACACATTCCTTCTGCCTCTGCCCTGCAGGATCCCCATGTGGTGTCAAATGAAAGCAGAGCAGCAGAGGCAGCAACAGGATTGGGAGGAAAGTGGCCTGGCTCATGGAAAGAGAAGATACAGAATGAACTTCCATCAAGAATTTAGGAAAGAGATGTAGAGAACCAAGCTGAGAAAGTGCAGGAAGACAGCTTCCTCAACACAGAACCTAAATATGGCCAGGATATTCAGGTCACAGAAAAGGAAAGCACCATTTGTCAAAGCAGAGGAGTTGAAAACTAACATCACCCCGATTCCAGGGAAATATCTATAGCACCCTGTGGTCTGTTTTCTGCTGGGACATTGGTCAGATTCCTCTTGTCATCTTAGCTGCTGTTTCTGGCCAAGTCATACTTGGAGTTGAGCTCTGTAGAGGAAGGAGGATTTGCTCTAAGCTTGGATGTTGATAGCACATCACCAATAAACATTCACGTTCTGTGCAGAGTGAACATAATTCTCAGAATGTTTGGGGAACACTGGAGACCATCTTCATGTTTATATCAAGTGGCAGAACTCCACCTTCCAGCATATTTTGTACATAAAATTGTCACTTGACATCTAGATGGAATAATTGGTCATACTGTGATTATGGCTCTGGTAAGAGATACCAGATACCCTGCTTGCAGAAGGGGCTGTGAGAGGCAGAAAATAGTGCTAGAGCATTGGGCCAAATGTTTATCAAAAGTCTCAGATTGTCTTGGTGTCTTTTCACACACATAAAATCACAGCTGTTTCCACTATCAAACTAAACTTGCTTTGCTTCCTTTGATGTAGATGAAACTGTCCTTTCTCTAGACATATCAAACAAAGCACTTTTGCTTACAGCACAATATTTTGTCTCTCCAGGCATCCTATAAGCCATTGTTGAAGCAGGTCGTGGAGGAAATATTTAATCCTGAGAAGCCAGATCCCGTTGACATTGAACACATGTCTTCAGGCCTCACTGATCTCCTTAAAACTGGATTTAGCATGTTCATGAAGGTAAGTGGCCATGAAGAGGTAATCCTGAGTATAACAACAGCCCCTTTGCAGGGCATGAACCCTGGCACCCCATTAGCCCAGGCCGGTGCCATACAGATAATGGTTGATATTTTGACTTAGGGCAATCTTCATTTAACTGTTGGGTATAAACCAACCTTATCTCATAGTAGCCTCCTACAGCTTCTTCTGACCAGAGCACTATGATCTTTTCTAATCAGCATATAGAATCTATGGTGACAAACAAAAGCCACCCCCCCCCATGCCGTGAGAGCACTTTTGGAAACTTGTCTACTTATGGCCCATGTTGTCACGTTACATTATCTACATACTATTCACAGAGCTTACAGACAGTCCTTTGCTCTTAATTCTGGAATTTACTGTCTAGAATAATGAGCAATTCTGCACAGTCCCATGACTAACATCACCCTCAAAACCCACTTGGAAATGACTTTTGTTTTGGTGCAGCAGACTCCTAGGTGACAAGTGCTACAATTTCTCTGCCTTGTATCTGGGGTAGGTTAGAATGACAACAGTGGAATGAAAGGAGGACAAAGTACACAAATGTGATCTATTTTTAACTCACTGTAAAGTTTCTTAATATAAAAGAATCTAAACAAGATTACAGGCTGACCTCCCAGGCTATCCCAGGATTTCAGTGGTAATAAGTCTTGGAAATAACAGAATGTTTTACCAGCTTCAAAGAGTCTTTAAAATTGTTAATTAATCTGCATAGAAGATCTGGCCTTTTGGAGTTCAATAAATGCATATTCCAGGAAAACTGGTCCACTCCAAAAGCCAGAGGACAAATGCCAGGCAAGCAGAATGGAAACCAAGCAATAAACTGGCTGGAACGGCCATGCCAGCTCTATTCCCAATTACCAGTGACTTCTGAGGCAACGCCTGGCTGGTCCATTTTCCTACTTCTTCTCCCTTTTTTTCCCTTAATAAAGCAATGCAGATCAGACTCTTAAAAGTGTCCAAGAATTCCTGTGCTGAATATAGTAAGCCAAGAGTGCTGTTCAGTGACTCCCTGTCCTCAATCGCTGTTCTTGGTGGCTAGTTTGTATAGAAACTTCTAGGCTACACATGGTTTCTAGCCCTCTACTTTTGAGCACTCTTCCTTCATTCACAAGCTTGAACTTGCTGAGGTGATCATGACCATGTTAGGGTCTGTAGTCATGTGGGAGGACTGCCCATGTGCATTTTCTATGACTGTTCCATGAAACAAGAAGTCACATTTTAAAGTTACCCCTTCAAACTCTGGAGAGTGTTTTCTCCGTCTCTTCCTATGATCAGAAGCTCCACCGTCCTAAGCATGCTTTGCCTAGTAAGGAGTTTGGGACCATCCTGGGGCAGTTCTGGGAAATGGAGTATCTCTCCCTGCTCAGATCTCTTCATTAGGGATCCTGCAACTGAGGCTGAGCTCAGAGGGAGGTTCCCAAGGAGCGGATTAAGGATGAGGAATCTGTTCTCTCAGCAGCTGTCAGTGTCCAGTGCCCAGGCCACAACTGTGGGGCCTCTGCACTCAGTTGCCAGAGCAGCTCATTTGACAATGGGACAAGAGTCTCTCTGGCTGGCTATAATGCCCTCTCCTCCCCAGCATCCCAAAAGAGTCATTTTGTTTTATTTCTAAATGGGCCTTTGTAGCTAGCTTTTCCTGCCACTCCAGAGTTCAGCAAAGACAGTTACATCTGGCCCATGTGTATAGAATTTGAATAAAACTGGGATGAACTTAAAGAGGACTAGCCAATAGAAGACTTGAGGAGCTAACTGTAATTCCCTAAAGAGCTTTGAGATGGTGGATAAGCCATCCAGAGAGACTCCCATTCTGCTAAGGCTCCTGGAGAAAGGAGGAGGAAAGGTGCAGGTGGGTCTAACATGAACATGGGCATCATCCAGAGCTTTCTCCCCACCCCAAGTTATAACGATAACCTATGGTTAGTGTGTTCTATGGAGTCAGTCAGAATTTTTCCCTCTCATATCAATGTTTCTAACAACCTTAGGAGGTAAGTCCTATCATTTTCCCTGATATACCAATGAGAAAACTGAGGCCTAGAATGTGTAAGCAGTCGATGCCAATTTCCAGAAGGCTGGGGTTGCATCTCACTCTTCTATTCTCAGGTATTTCCCAAAGAGCACACAGGAAATATTGACACCAGGATTAGTCCCCAGCTCACTCTTATTCCGAAGCCCAGGCTCTTAGTCACAACATTTCTTGGCTCCAAGATGCTGCCAGGCATTTTCTTGGAAGTTAAGTGTTCATGTGTTATTAATTCTGGTTTTCTTCAGAATTAGTTGTTGGCATAAATGCTTTCCCTTTCCTGAATTGGGGTAACTCATGAATAAAGTCTGCCTGGGCTGGTCTTGGAGGCAGCTAGTGTGAGTGAGATCTATCAGGTCTTGAGGCCACCTGCTATTACCCTGTCTGCTTTTGTGGAGCTTGGGCCCAGGGTTCACAGATGGATCTGTCACTGCAATTGAGTTGCCCCGACACATTGTATCTTCATTCCGTATCAGCAGCGAACAGTTATCCCTCCTGTCTTTCTTACCACTTGCAGCCCTACTCTGTGCCTCTGGAGTCTACTCCCCACCTCCCATTCAAGTCTCACCAGTGCTGAGCCAGGAGGAAACAAAGAGGCAGAGCCTGTTAAAGTCTTCCACGTGGAATCCTTTCTGTGCCAGGGGTACTGTCATAAAAATGGGAAAATTAAGGAAATTTAACTTCTGCAGGAAGGCAACTGAGCTGGTCTGTCCCTGTTCTGTCTCTGTATTTAGAGATGGTGTCATGGATGATGTTGACTTGGGGTGACCCAGAGGCATTGTCTGTAGATGGTGCAGAAGACAAGGGTAGACTGGGAAGCTGGTGAGAACTGCCCTAAGAAATGGAGCATGCAGTTATTCCCCAGGAGGCACTGAGTGAGTTTCCCAGCAAATGACAGAAAGAACATAAGAAAGGGTGGTCCAGGCCCTGGGGGTCTCCTTCAGGGCTGTGTACCTTTCGTGCACACCCTGGTGCTTGCACTTATGCATTGTGTTATGATTACATCTATTAAATATCTTTCTCCAAACTAGTGTTTTATTCAAATTAGTGTTTTCTAAGTGCACAGCTTGGTCAGTTGTATATTAGTGGATCAAGACATGAATTCAATGGGTTGTAATCATTATTTTTACTGGAAAGTAATAGAACAGACTAGGTCAGAGTTTATTTAGTGAGGAAAGCAGCACAACCTTGTCTCACACACACACACACACAACACACACACATACACACACACGTGTGTGCGCATATTACTTAAATATCTTTTCAGTATAGATCACTCTCAAAGGAACGTAAAGTGGTGGGTGCCAATGACTCACTCCTGTAATCCCAGCTACTTGGGAGGTTGAGATCAAGAGGATTATGTTTTTAGACCAGTCTCAGCAAATAGTTCACGAGATCCCATCTCCAAAATAACCAGAGCAAAATAAACTGGAGGTGTGGCTGAAGTTGTAAAGTGCCTGCTTTGCAAGTGTGAAGCCCTGAGTTCAAACCCCAGTCCCAGCACACACACAAAAGAGAATGTGAGACCACGGCTGTGAGAATGGAGGCCCAATCTAGCTCTTCCTCTTTCCTACATTCTCAGCCCTGGGCATCGGTATGCAGGTATACAGCAGGTGTTTACTAAAGGTGGGGTGTTATAGTGCTTGTTCACAAAGCAGCACAGCTCTTTCCAACTACAGTCGTCCCTCCATTATCCATGGGAATACCTTCCAAGACCATTGGAGGGTGCCTGAAACCGCAGAGACTCCCACTCCTTTTATGTCCCGTGTTCTTCCCTACACACGCACAGCCTTAGTGCTCTCTTCATCTTAGCTGAGCACATATCACACTCCATTGCCAGAACTTTGGTGCCTCTCACATGTGACCGCAAGGCTAGCACTAATTTCTTTTTCTTTTTTTTTTATTCATTTATTCACATGTGCATACATTGTTTGGGTCATTTTTCCCTCGTGTCCCTGCCCCTCACTCACCACCCAACCCCCTCACTTCCAGGAAGAGGCTGGTTTTTTTTTCCTTTTATTATTCATATGTGCATATAAGGCTTGGGTCATTTCTCCCCCCTGCCCCCACCTCCTCCCTTACCACCCACTCCGCCCCCTCCCTCTCCCCCCACCCCCTCAATACCCAGCAGAAACTATTTTGCCCTTATTTCTAATTTTGTTGTAGAGAGAGTATAAGCAATAACAGGAAGGAACAAGGGTTTTTGTTGGTTGAGATAAGGATAGCTATACAGGGCATTGACTCACATTGATTTCCTGTGCGTGTGTGTTACCTTCTAGGTTAATAGGAAGAGCCTGTTTTGCCCTTTTCTCCAGTTTTGTTGAAGAGAACACATAAGCAATAATAAGGAAGACAAAGTGTTTTTGCTAGTTGAGATAAGGATAGCTATACAGAGACATTCCTAGCATTGCTTTCGTGTACCCATATGTTATGACCCATGTTGATTTAACTCTAACTGATCTTTACATTGGTTCCTGATCCCCTGCCCATGATAACCTGTCATTTTAAGGTTTCTGTATTAGTTCCTCTGCAGTGGGGACATCAAACACTTTCATGTTTTGGGTTTTCTACCTATCCCCATATCTCCCATATGTGCTCCCCTTGTCATGTGACCCAAGTCCAACCACATTGCTGTATTTGCCCTAAATCTAAAGTCAGCATATGAAGGAAAACATACGATTTTTGGTCTTCTGAGCCTGGCTAATCTCACTCAGGATGATGTTCTCTTTCTAGTTCCATCCATTTACTTGCGAATGATAAGATTTCGTTCTTCTTCATGGCTGAGTAAAATTCCATAGTGTACAAGTACCACATTTTCTTGATCCATCAGTAAATTTTCTTGATCCGTCAGTAGTAGGGCATCTTGGTTGTTTCCATAACTTGGCTATTGTGAATAGTGCTGCAGAAACATGGGTGTGCAGGTGCCTCTGGAGTAACCTGTGTCACATTCCTTTGGGTA